GTTTTCGTAGTCTATTTGATTGAGCCTCATCCTCAAGTCTTGTGTTTATCCCTCGGGGTAGATACAGGGTTTGAGGTTGAGTGCTCTTTCATTTAAACTATGGAAAATATGAGGTCAGTTTGATTTCATATTTTTCTAAAATTATATATATATACGTAAATTAAAAAGTCCTTCCGAAGCGGGCGACGGGATTTCGATTCCGGCGACCGACAGCTTCTTACGGGCAACCCCCAAACATTAACTTTTTCCCCTTTTAAGCGCCGACAATAGAATAAAGAGAAAAAAAAATTGGAAAACCATTACACTAAGAGATATCAAAGTATAGGGCCAGTCAAGGCATGCGTACAAGACTGATGAATTGTGCGATCAAACCACCAAGATCAAGTTGACCAGCACCTTAGTGCAAAAAAGAAATTTAGTCTTCTAATGGACAGTTTCTTTCTTAGATTAATTTCAAGCAAAAAAACCCATTAAGAATTTGAATCCTTCAACAAAATCTGAAGTGGTGATTGGCCAGAACCGCAAAATGATGCACTGGAAGATAACTATAATGAATTTTCATTTCATAAGAATGCTAAAAAATGCCTGGTGCATTCCTTAAGAAGCAAAGGGCGAAGCAAACACACAAGTTCTAATATAAAAGAATTAATCACTTCATGCAATAATGGAAAGCACATAACATGCCTGACCAACCAAAGGGAAATCCCTATGCCGCCTAGGCTTCCACGCAACTTTTTAATAGAAGAATAGTTTAACCACAGGACAAAGTAAATCAGAAAATCTGTATCCTATTTGATAACATTGACGAAACAGTCTAAAACACATTTAACAAAGTACCAAGATAGTTTTAAACAAGATCTAATCACACATTTTATATCATGAGAAATATCGCAAGAGAGCTAATAGCTATATTAATGGGACATTGGGATGCTTAACAATCCGCACCTTAAGTACAAGCCTCACATCCTCCTTCGTCAATCTCTGCTGCCGAAGTAGTAGCTCTATCCTTCCCCTCATCTGTTGATGCCTACAGCATGAAATCTAAAAAATAAAAATCTAGACAAGTACGTGAAACCTGAAGATAATGATAGTTGCAAGAAACCATAGAAGAGATTAACCATAACTTACTCAGAAGACCATAGGTGACCCAGAATAACAGCAATCAACTGAAATCCGTAAAGGGCTTACCATTAGTTATTGAACTGAAAATAAAAAGTAAATCTTCCAACTAGAAAGAGCAACACATGAATTAATCATAATAGAATGAAGCTAATACAAACATATACTCACTTGGAGAGTGTATAATCCAGCTTCTAGCTTACGGTTATATTGTTCTTCGACGTCCATCTAAAGCATTTATGACAAAAAGATGGCAAATAAATAATAACATTCAACTGAAAAAGTAAAAGCATATAACATATGATGATTACCTCCAGGTCATCTAAGTCAAGATTGTTTAGCCGTTCAGTCTCAGTTTTAACTCTGTCAGAGTACCTGCAATATTATAAAGACTTCATATTTCTAGCCCAATAGTTGGCACTAAAAAATAGAGAAAATAAGCTTAAGCTTAAATCATGAGAGGTTCCAAGGACAAGTTACGAGAAAAATGTTAAACTTACCGCAAATATAATTCCATAAGCCTATCAATTTTCTCACATTCATTTTCGACAAATTTGCTCAACAATCTCTCCCTTCTCGAGCCTCTTGTAATGCCAACTGATCAAACCAAAAGATAGCAAATATATAACCAAAAGTTGACCATAAAATCAAACATTTTGTAGATTTTAAAAAGAAAATTTATATATTATGCAAAGCCAGCAAAACATGGGTAAAGTTAAATAAAAATCATGATTAAGGTCCATGAGTAAACAACTCCCCTTCCCCCTCCCCCCTTCCCCCTCCCTTACCATAACCAAGGTAGTTATGCAATCAAGAAGAATATCCACTCTATATTTCAGCATCACTAAAGACCCAAGTTCAACACAGATACTATCTTCCTCATCATTAACATGCTTAAGGGTTCAGTCAAAAATCAGGATCCCTTTCTCAGTCAACGCTGGCCATGATTACCGAAAATCCAAGTCTCATATAAGTGCTCTCTTCCTCATCCTCATCATGTTAGGATCCCATCAAGCAACTGACTCATGCCATCTTTATTGTGTATCACCAAAGATCTGAGTTGTATTCCATCACCAATGATCCAAGTTTGATACAAGTGCTCTTCCTCATCATGGTTAGAGTTCAACCAAAACATTCATTCCAATTTTATGGTTAATGTTGTTTATCTTTTTTGTGCACTTTCTATTACACAATGTCACATAAACAACAACTAATCTCCAATACATAGCTGAATCCATTAATATAGACCAAGCCCTAATCATTTCCCCCATAACAAATATACCAAGCTTGCTTTCAAGCCTAAATAGGGTTCAACATTCCCACAAGCACTTTAGCTTGCATTTTGGCATCTACAAGGTTCAACACCAGCACACGCATTGTGGCTTACTTTCCTAAACTGCACAGCTCAACATGAGGACATGCACATCAGCTTGCTCTCATACCATAAGCATAAGTATTTCGCTTGTTCTTCCTTTTCAGGGCCATCATTCAAGTGCCTTGGTTTGTTTGCTCTTCAACATCAAAAGGGCAATTGGCACTAGAATTTCAACCAGCTATCATTTAGCATAACCGTATAGCTTATTCTACTGCAGAAGCAGTATGCATTCTCATTCTATTAATCTTATTATGTTATTACTCAAGCATTCTCATGACCTTAAATTTCTTTATCTTCATGATATCCATATTCTTTCCTTCACAAAATAACCACGCCATCATCAAGTTATTTCAAAATCCGTACTCTTGAGATTCATGGTATGCATAATAATTTTCCATAGATAAAACATCCTGTTTACAAATATTATGGCCATTCATACATATATTACATGTAGTCACGAAAATAGAACTATGAAAGGATTTCATTCAACTGCTGTCTTCATGTGATATATGAATGGTGATAATATTCGTAAAAAAGATGTCTTATCTATGGAAAATTGTTATTATGTTTTACAAATATTATCTATGTTTTATTCAGTTAAAGCTGTCGTATATTTCATGCAACATGCAGTAAAATATTCACGTATATTAAGGTAACTTTCATGTAGCATCAGAAACCAGTCATAGTAAAACATATGAGGATCTTCTCATAATCATCCCTTATCCACATGCTTTACCAAAATCATCCATAAAAAGCATCATGCAATAGAAGAGCTCCTGCTTTCACTGTTAAATCAGAAGCTAACCATACAAATCCGAAAAAAAAAATATCATCAGCAAAGCTATACCAAGCTTTGCTCCCCCTTCAAACTTCTCCTAAAACTCCTTCGAAGATCTCAGAATCCCTCAAACCTTCAAAATGTTAAAAAAATGGGCAAGCACCTCACTCCACCCTGATATATCACAAGTGCGAAAACTTGGTCAAGCACCTCTTTAACTTTATGTTTACCTCCACCAAAGATCGCATGGGCAAAAACAATGCAGTTAGACATTATAGACCACCAATGGCAAATTTGCAGCTTCAAACTGCAAGCAACAACTTATTATTTTGCAGCGCTCCAAGCTAATTGAAAAACTAACCCATTCGCATATCCAAGTCCAAGACAGTATATATGATCCTCACAACTATGAATTGAATGTGCGATCAAGAGATGGATAAACCAAGTGTTAGCCAAGTTCAATGGGTTACATACAAATATATATATATATATATATATATATATATATATATTATTTTTATTTTTATTTTTATTTTTATTTTTTTTTTGGCAGCCAAAACTAGGAGCACAAGCATTTAAACATTTTTGGGTTATCAAAACTACATTAGGATGAATCTACTATGGATGACCACCAGGGAGATCCAGAGACCGAAGCAGTGAAATTGAGAAACACCTTGTTAGCCATTTCAAATATAATATCATTTCTATTGGCAAAACTGAACAATCAGAGCACATGAAGTTGTAAACAACAATAAAGAATTGACACGGTAAATAGTGGTGATAAATAGAAATTAGATGTTATTCCTTCAAAGAGGATATAAAGCTCGAGTGGTGTTATTACAATGCAATTTTCAATGTTGAGGTGATTGTTAATTAATTGGAGCATATTGATGCATAATTCTCTATATAAAATTACTTCAAGCTGAAAGAAATGATTTTGCATAACTTCAGATCTTGAGTCTTGGGGTTTGAGTTTTAAAGAGATTTTCTACCTCTCTAATTGTAGGATTTGGAAGAGATGGTCTGCTTTTTGAATTGTAGAAGCTTATCGTTTGTATTCGTGTCTAGTTGTATGATGTTCTTACAATAAAATAATTCATTTTCCCTAATTTATGTGGAAAAATCATCTGAATTTTTATCAAAGTGATATCAAAACATCGGATCTTGAGAAGATTGCAATGTTTTCATAGGAATTTTGGGGGAGAGGAACCTTGATGACAGAATTTCAAGATAAAGTTGCAAGCTAACTAAGGGATCGCGCCTGGGAAGGTATCAGATCGCGTTGGGAAGCCAAGGATTGAATCACGACGGGAGCAACAGCAGGATCGCACGTACTTGTAGTCGCACTACAATCGCGATTCCAGCTAGCTGGGAAGCCACATAAAAGGGTTGTGGCATAGAGATCGTTGCGTAAAGGGACACTAAATATTGCGATACAATCGCTAGTCTAGTCAACATGAAATTTGTCGAAGTGATTGCGTATAACAATATCGATTAGAGCTAGCGAAGAAATATCACACAAACGGGCGAGTGCCCTAGCAGCGATAAAGACACGATTTGAGGACTGCATAGCAATGGATGCGATCGCGGATTAAAAGTGCTACGCCTTCGTGATCAGTTATCTTATTGGTGGTCATGGCTGCCAAGAAAATGTAGTCTTTGGAGGAGAAATTATAGAAAGATGTGAGTAAAATCAGATCTGAAATGGATGAGCGTTTCTTGTTCTTAGAGGGGCAGTTTTCATCCATGGAGATAGGGTTGTGAATGAACCAATGCACTCGATGAACAACTCGAACTCGGCTCGATTAAAACTCAATCATGTTTGTTCAAATTAGTAAATAAACAAGCTTGAATAATTTTTTAAAACTTGAATCTTAAATAAACAAAATATGAACATAATCAAACTTGTTCATTTATGTTCACGAATAAGCTGGTATGTTGTTCAACAAGTAATTTGTTAATATTAAGCTTGAATATAACACATATCATATATATTATTTAAATAAAATTTGATTAACTAGAAATTACTTAATTATAAATTTGATAGTAATATACAACTATATCAATCTTAATTATATATTTATTCTGTTATTAATTATAAACCATTTAAAAATTAAAATGATGAAATTCTGAAAGTGAACATCATATTGATCATTCTTTTTTACTATGTTTGATCTGACCGCATTTAATTTTTCTCAATTATTTCGACAATGGATGAATGGCTTCACGTTATAAGTTACTTTAAAATACTAGCTCATTTAGTTTTTTTTGCTCGTTTCAATATTTTTTCTCCATCTTAAAATTCATTCTTGTTAGAATATATATATTATTGATACTAGATGATAGTATGTGGTTTAGTTCATTAGTTTATATAATCTATTCAATTATTTATTTATTTAGATTTCTAAAATTATTTATTATATTATTTATATAAAATTCTAAATACTTGTTTGAATTTTTAGCTCGTTCATTAACCTTTTTAAATACTCGATCACTTGTCATAAATAAATCAAATGAAAGCATTAAAAAATTTAAACAAGTTAAGCTTGAACAATACGTGAAAGCTCGATACAAGCTCAAGCAAAACAACTTATAATTTTACCAAGTCAAGTTCAAACTATGATATAATTGGCTCGACTCAGCTCAATTATAGCACTTCACGACGGCGCGGTTCGAGAGAAGATTCACGGTCCTTGAGAAATGATGAAAAAGATTGTAGATTTTCACACAAAATTGCCTCAGCTAGCCGCGAGATCGAGTGATGATGTCTAGAGGAGATGCAAGAAGCAACAATCTGAAGGATTTGTGCAGCAGCAGGACATCATCCTTGCTTTATGAGGATCTAGTCAGAGTTTGAATGAACGAGTCAGAAACAGATTTGAGCGGCAGCATCCAAAGGGAATGGTGCAACATCTGGAGTCTTGGAACGAGCGGTGGCAGGTGAAACAAGACATGTGATTCGGAGCTGGAGAAAATCGCTTCAATGAATTTCGGCCTAGAAAAGGAAAACACGATGGGTGAGACCACGACGGAGGGTTCTATCCAACTGTCTCAACCCTTTTATGGAGGCAACTTTCAAGTTGAAAGGCAATTCAGGAGTCATGAAGAGAACGGGACAAGTGAAATAGAGCAGAAGAGAGTGTAAGGGACTAATTTTGACATTGCAGAGTATTAAAGAGGGAGACAAGATGGTGGTGTTTCGTAGTGACCCCAATTTTTACATGACTTTAGTAAAGCTCAAAACCATGGTGAGGCAATTCAGGACGCAAGGCTAAGATTCTAGATCAAGTTGTACAGCATGGAAGAGAAGTAAAACGAAGTTTACAGAGACGTTGGTGATCTATGAGCTACTGGAAGAATTATTTGGCCCGTGATATTCTCTAAGATTGACTAGAAGTCAAGATACCATCAAATTTTGATGCGGTCGAAGGATGTGCATAAGAT